CAGTCTGCCTGATTACGTGCAAGTGTACAGGGTCTTGTACCCTTTAATTTAGGTTAATGGGCATAACCCTTGCGTGGAAGCCAGCACTCTTACAGTATCTAGCTGTGGCTGCCGGCTGGAAGACTGTCTGCAGGCACAGAGCTGCCAGGCCCAAGGGCACCATAGGTGTGGGAGACCATCCCCACCCCAACCCCAGGTTCAGAGGTTTGCTCTGCTCTAGGACCTGTGAGAGCCAAGCCTTTAAACCAGGGTGCCCCAGGGCTTATTCTAAATAAACCTGCTGGGTGCAACCCCTGGTAAGCATGTTACATCCTCAACTCAGCTGTGATCTCGACTCAACACCCACTTCTACCAGCATCTACCTATCACCAGGAGTTCCCTCAGAGCTCCTAGCCCATGAGTGTGATGTGAGATTAACTGAGCCCACACAGGGTAGAGTCCTTCCCCTTATGCCACAGCACACAGCCCCTCAAAGTCCCAGGAGAAACGTGCCCCCTCCAGTGCTCCAAATGGCAGGTGGCCTAGCTGGCAACTCAATCACCCGGTTTAAGGCTGTTAACTTTTTATTATCATCACACCATTCCATACAATAGCAAGAGACATATCAGTCTTAACACGCTTCCAAGTGAATGAATACATGAACAGAAAATCTGTACACATTATCATTTACAGCAATTTTACATGGTGAATTGTTTCAAGAAAAAGTTCTAAATCTCTTCTGTTCCCTTAAATCTTGGAATATTTTCGGTACAAGAGCCTACCCAGTTAGGACTATTTACAAGTACCAAATTAGACAAGCTAATTTAATAAAAGTCACTAATTTTAACAGGACTGCTTAACATCTTTGATGGTTCCACACTCAACCCACCTTGAAGTCCTGACAAAAAGGCAAGACTGAAGCTTACATTTAGGCATTTAAGGTCCCAATCCCAAATAGATTGTGTCCAGTGCCAATAAAGACAAGTTGACTCCAGACAGCTGCCACAGATACACCGGTAAATTCAAAATCAGCCCATTTTCACAAGTGGCAACTGACTTTATAAACACTGGGAAATGCAGTCCGGGATATCAGAGGTCGAGCATTAAGTCATTTTGTGTGTTTCACAACTGAGGTCAGTCCAATCTTTCTTGGATTTCGTTCCCTTTACAACTTAAAATATACACAAAACCCCCATGTTTATACATAAAATGATGTCCAGGGTCAATACATAACATATTCATACTAGAACAGTCACACAGAAAATTCAATGCCATTAGCTTAAAAATTAAAATTCATGGATAACATCAAATCTCATTTTCAACAGCAAGTGGCAGCTTCTACCCCGTCTTAGCGATTTGGTATCTCCCAGCTCAGCCACTTTAACTCTTGAGCAGAGAGGCGTGTGGTCGAACACAAAAGCTCCACACACAGGTCACACAGGGCTCCCCACGAAAGTCTCACCACTCCCCACCCCCGCGCTCTGAGAGGACGTGGGGGGCGACTTTGGCCTCAGGTCCTTTCATGAGGGTTTCACCCGTAGAAATAAGGGCCGGGGCCCACCTCCACACCTCACAACTGCTGTGTTCTGCTCCCACTGCACAAAGGGCTCCCACGCACTGTTTACAGGCCTTTGGATAAAACACAAAGTTTGGGTGTGCAGACCCACATCACATTTTGAGCAACGAACAGAAACAGAAACCACAGATAGTGGCTATCTCCGCACGAGGACGTGTCTGACTGGATACATTTCTGGATGACTTTAAAGAACAGTTTCACGGGAAAGTCAGACAATCAAATGTGAGATCACATATTAGAGTTCAATCCAATGCCAAGCCCAATATGTTCCACCAATTAAAACCAAGCTTTTCATTGCATGGAAGATCCTGGTGAGGGATCGTTTTACATGAGGACAGCAACACAACATGAGAGATGTAATCAATATCACTGCGATGAAAAGTCATTTGTCTGAATGTTTTGGTGGGTTATATTTTCACCATTTAAATAAAAAACAAAGTTTTATTCTAAATGGGAAAACAAAGTTTCTATCGTTCAATAGTGGGGAAATCGAAATTTCACCTGAACAAGTTATTAAACATATCACCAGCAATTGTCTTGCCCCAACCTGAATCACAATCTTCAGGAAACCACGTGACCCCTCCAAAAGAAGAAACATTTGGCAAAAAGCTGGGCTAAACGCTTTAAAAAAAGAAATGTCGGGGAAGGGGGGCAGCCAGCTGTTCTACGTTAAAGGGAATTGAAAGACTCAGCAATGGACCATGGGAGGAGAGCTACAGGACGTTACTGGGACAAGCGGGAGACCACAATCTGGGCTGTTCCTGAGACTGCTTCACCCCCTGAAAACGGGGGCCAGGCCTCCACTGGACAGCAGTGTTTGAGCAACGCTGCACTTCCGGGGCATGATGAGCACATCGAGGCCTCGTCCAGAACATCCTGAATCTTAGGAGATAAAAGTGGCAAGTGTCAGTGGGCAGCTCCGCCTTCTTGTGATGGCTGAGGAGCGCCTGGCACACAAAGGGTAGACCTGTGCGCAGTCCCACAGACTGAAGTCTCGTTTACCTTCAACCTAGCCAGGCTCTTCACGGGACCCCTACCCCCAGTACATGCCTCCGTGCCTGGTGAAATGAGTCCCTTTCTCTGGCCCTGGTTCTTTGGAAACGCAGCTTCAGAGACTTTGCCACCAAGTCCATATTCTAGGCTAGAGGGTCTGTTACTTTGGCCAGTTGACTGACAGTCCTGGCGAAGGTGGACACAACTTGGTTTGAAGCTTTTATCTAGTGACATGCTTGTGACTGGAATGCATCTTTCAGGGACTGCTCAATACACCCAAGGAGAGGGATTAAGGATGGGTTATTTAATCCGTGGGAGGGCCATGCTTCAAAATTAACATTTTATAATGTGTGCAGTCAATTATGCTGAGGTTTACAGACAAAAGGCAACAGGGAAAAGCAGCAGAAAAGAGAAGAGACAAGGACCCTCTTTTAAGACAGCTTTCACAGTGAAGACAGTGACAGGCCTGGGTGGGCACGGGGCTGAAGAGGTGTGTCCACAGGCAAGTGTGGGCATGCTGGCTTGCACTGCCAAGGGAGCCGAGAGCTGACCTGCACTGAAGGAGGGAGCCTGTGCTGCAAACAGACTTCCTGCTGCTAAAGTGCAGCCTGTTACTTCCTTAAACACCCACTCTCCACTGTACGTACGGCCTGTGGTCCCATCAGGTAGGCGGCAGTGAGGGCCAGCTGGTGGGACTGGCAGAAAGGCTGGAGGGTGGAGAAGGCCTACCTCTTCCTCACTCCTCAGCATCGTCCCCGCTCAAGTTAGTGGTTCTGACGCTGCCACTCCCGTGGTTTTACACTGACCCTGTACCCACCCACCTGTGCAGTCCCCCCAGGCCACGCATCCACTGGCAACTTCTGGAAATATATGCAGCATTTTCACCATCAGGTTTTCAAACTGAGGGTTAGGTTTATTGCATTTTGTTAAAATGACAAAAGCGGTTCTTAGTCCCTGAGAGTCGGATCAACATATAAAATCTGGATTTTATTTATTTTGACCATTTTCCTTCCATGTGAAAAAAAATCTGGAATAACATTCCTGCCATTTCTCCACCGCTAGCATTGATGCTACTTCCAGCTTATCCACCACAGGCTTTGTGGATGGCTAGCAGAGCTTGAAGGACAGAAGTTTTCCACATGAAAGGAAGCAGGTGGCAGTGACTTCCCACCTGTATTTCAGAGCGTCTGAGCTGTTTACACCAGTACAGTCCTATAGAAGCATGACTTTAAAACAGTTATCTATTTTTCTGGTTTCATAACCCGTGTTTTCACCACTTATCACACATTAAGACATTTGCATGTGGTAACACTAGGCTATCTCTATGAAAACAACACCCCATAGCCATGGAGTCCATTCTGACTGACAGCGAGCCTGCAGAACAGACGACTGCTCCAAGGGGCTTCCAAGGCTGTATGGCTTTACAGGAACAGCCAGTCTCATCTGTCTCCCATGGAGCAGCTGGTGGGTTTGCCCTGTTGACCTTGCCGGTCAACAGTCTAGCGCTTAACCCACTGTGCCACCAGCACATCTTGTACAAACGCACGGATCCTTTTAGAGAGTATTTACCCGTACACCTGCATGGGATGAGGCGAGCATTTTATTACGCTGCTCTTGAGCTTTGAGGAGAAATTTTTTTTTACATCAGAAACATGCAACTTTTCAATTGCCAAGTGGTGGGGGTTGGGAGGTGTCCTAGCCATGTCCCTATTTAATGATAAGTAGCTGACTCCTCACTAGTGAGGCACACACAACACCCCTACAATTAAGTTCCTGGTGATACTAATGTCAGCACTGAGCTGGGGAAATACTAATGTCAGCACTGAGCTTTTCCATGAAAATGGGGTGACTTATGGAGCTAATTTAACAGAAAACCGAAACCAAGGCCACTCCCCAAAGACTCAATCTTAGGACCAACTCGCCGTCCAATGATAGGATCTCAATCGAATTTCTGTCCCAATGGTACTTTCTCAAGTGGCCACAGTGAACCCAGCCCAGGCAGCGGACAGTCTAACCCAGGAGGTACTTACAAAGTTGTCCTGTGAGCTCGCCTGGGACTCAGAGCTGCTCTCTGCCGATTCCATCTCCATCTCACCCAGGTCTACGGGGTGTCTGTGAGGAGGAATAAATGGGTAAGTCAGGAACCCGAGTAACGAAGACGAGAGAACCACAGCATAAACACATGCTGAGTCTGTCCATCAGACCAACCCTGTAACAGTACATGGCCCCAGGGAGAGGGACGCTCCTTGAGCTTGCTGAGGTGGGGGGAATGCTTTCACTGGTTCCACACCAGCCAGACAATTAGCCCGTCCCATCAGCTCACCAGAGACAAAGCTGCCAGCAAAAAGCTCAGCTTGCGTTGGGCACAAAGACCTGCCAATCTCCAGTCTTAAAGCATCTTTTCACACACACATGTGCACCACACCACACACACACTTTACTACTCCTAGAAGCATGAATAAGGAGCTCTGGTAGAATAGTGGTTACAAATCAGGCTGCAAACCGCAAGGTCAGCAGTTCGAAACTACCAGCTGTTCCGCGGGAGAAAGATGAGGCTTTCTGCTCCCGTAAAGATTTACACTCTCGGAAACCCTGTACAGGGTCGCTATGGGTCGGAACGGACTCCACAGCACATAACAACAACATAAGCATGAATACATCCCATTTTCTTAGGGGGATGAATACTGAAAAACTCTAGTACTCCACACGGACACACGTTTTTCCTAGTCACTAAGAGAATAGGACAACACCATCGTCACCTGGATGTCAGCTGTGAGGCCAAATCTGCAAGGCCCTGACAGGAAGCACATCAAAAATGCCAGCCTTGAAGCAGAAACACAATGGTTTTGTTACATGAGTAACATCCCTCTGATAGTGGGACGGGTTCAGGACAAGAGGGGAGCTGAGAAGCAACACCCCTCAAGGGAGGAAAGCACACACTGATCTCTCTCTCTCTCTTCCACAGCGAGTCAGGACCAGACTGTGAAAATGGAGGCTACAGAAACCAAGGGAGAAAGCAATCCCTTAAGGACAAAAGGGTCTGATCTCACTTTTCAAGAGCGGCACTACCATCACCAAATTACCTATGCAGAAATGGTTAAACCCGTGCGTATTTTGCTGTGTATAAAAAATATTTTATTTTTATTACTGTTACTTGCCATCAAGTCAACTGACTCACAGAGACCCTGTATTGGGTTTCTGAGGAGCAACTTCTGGGTTTGAACTGCTGACCTTGTGGTTTGCAGTTCAGTGCTAATTCTACAATGCCATACCAGGAGTCTCTTTTTAAAGATTCACCTAGTCCCAAGTTCACTGTCCTTGAGTCAATTCCAACTCACAGCAACATTAAGGATAAAGCAGAATGACGCCCTAGGGTTTCCAAGAATATAAATCTTTATGGAAAAAGACAGCCTCCTCTTTCTCCCTCGGTACAGCAACTGTAGGATTTAATCTGCTAACCGTTCCATCTGCAGCCCAACACTTAACCTACCACACCACCAGGGATCCTTTCGTTTTCATAGTTCGATTACAATGATTCAAATACTTTTTAGGCTGTGCATCTCCCTGCCAAAAAAGCACCAGTTCCTAGGTTGCTGGAGCTCTATCTATGTCTATGAAAGGTTAAATTCAACCCGAGAAGCACACTGCCCCACTCTACACACATGCCTATCAACAAAACAGGCCTGAAGCTTGCTCAGACCTTCCCAGGGATGAAACTCCATAAGCCATTTCAATCACGGTCCAGAGCAAAGAAGCTGAACAAGCAAGCTCAGACGTACATGTCCTGCAGGTCACAGCCCTCCTCGGCAGGAGGGTCCCAGTAGTGCAGTGCCACCTTCCAGAGTCTGATCTGCTGGTCCCACGACCGCCGGCTGTACTTCTTAAACTTGTTGGGGGTCTTGGGGTGAACGCCAGGCTGTCGGAGGTGTCTAGAGGAGAAAGCAAGGCTATCCTAGCAACAGCATTCAGGATCACACATGGAGACATTTACTTGAAAGCTTAGAGATGGATCAAGCTTTGGAAGTACTGATACTAAAGATTATAAATCAAATAATTCTACAAAATGAAAAAAACGTACGTTCAAAGAGCACTTAGCTCTTTGAAGCTCATTATTCCTTAGTAATTAAAGTTCCAGAAAATTAAATATTTAACCCTGATCCTGCCAGGAGGTTGATGACAATAGTCTAAAGTTCTCTTTCTCTTTGTGCCTGTTTTGGAAAGAGAGATAGGCATGTGCATGCTGCTAACTCAGTGTGATGCCATGATTCTCCTCTAGTTAGACCTTTGAAACCTTGGACTTCAGTTTTGTTTTCACCATTGTATTGTAATAGTTTTATGCCAATAAAGTTACGAGTACTTAGAAACGAAAATGCTAACAGTCAAAATTATAAAAAGGTTATTTCTATGTCTTAGTAGCTTTGATTTTTCAGTTGCCAAGTGACTGTCCGGGGGAGTGGTGTGAAAAGGCTCTTAACCTCCTTTAGGTAAGGCATTGTGGTTCACACCAAGCTGTAGATCACTGATGAATGGGTCTTAAACCAAGCTCGCTGTGAGCACACTGATTCCAACTCACAGGGACCCTCTGACAGAATAGAACCTGACCCCCAGGGTCTCCATGGCTGTATCTTTATCATTTGGAGCAGCTGGTGGATGAAATGGCCAGTAATCAGCAGCGTAGTGCTTAGCCATTGTGCCAATAGTTGATTCCAACTCCTAGTGATCCTATGGTCAAGTGCTCACAACGATCCTGTATAGAGACTCCGAGGAGCGGCTGGTAGTTTCAAACTGCTGACCTGAGGTGAGCAGCCCAACTTGTAACTACTACGCTACCAGAGCTCCCTATAGGGTGGAGTGAAACTGCCCTACTGGGCTCCCAAGGCTGGACATCTTGATGGGAGCAGAAGGCCTCATCTTTCTTCCACACAATAGTTAACAGGTTTGAACTGCTTACCTTTTGGTTAGCAGCTGAGGGGTTTAAGCACTGGTTCACCAAGGCTCCTTAAATTACCAAAACCCAGTCATCGAGTCAACTGTGGCTTTTAGTGGCCTTACATAGGCTATCCAGGACTGTAAATCCTTACAGGAGAGGAGTAACTCATCGATCTCCCGTGGAGCGGCTGCTGGATTTAAACTGCCCACCACCAAATCCACAGCGCCACTGGTGTTGGTAAGTGCCTTGGAATCAGCTGACTGACAGCGACCCTCTATAAGGGTTACCAAGGAACAGCTGGTGGGTTTGAACCACTGACCTTGTGGTTAGCAGTCCTGTGCTTATCCCACAGCGCCACACCACTAGGACCCCTTAAATGTTCCTAACAAGTCTGAATCACTCCCACAACCAGATTTAATATCCGAAGAGCCCCCACCACCTTGGAACTTCTTTAATGTAGCGATCGTAGGCAATGGTGTTCTTCCCATAGTTGATTTGCTTCTGTCTTCTCATGAGCACACTCTCGTCTGTCTCTAGGTCTGCCGGCACTGCAGACACGGACTCCTTTGAATCAGAACTGGAGGAGACAAGAGACAAACCGAACCACTAAGTAAATGGAGACAAGAACACTGAAACCCAAGAGGAACACAGCCCCAGCTAAGTCAGTCCCTCAAGAGTCCAGTCTCTGCACCCGTGAGACCTGAGCACACAGCAGAAACATCACTTCATACTCGTGACCACAGAGACCAGTCAGTAAGCGTTCAGATAACATTTTCACAAAGTGTCGGGTCCAGCAAACCAAAACCCCCATCCCGACAGCATTTACCTTCCAGAGGATGACCTCCTCTCTCTTCCAAAGTCATTAATGAGAAGTTTCCGTTTATATCTGAAAGCAAAATAAACATGTGTTTTTAAAAGATATGAAGCCAAATGTGACACGTGGTGCTTTTAGAGTGAAACACTGCACACCAAGAACAAAGCTGCCTTCTCCCTGAGCTGTGGTGCGGGCTGAGCCGGCTGCTTCCCCTCGCTTCGTCACAGGTGGACGAGAAAGACCATTTGCCAAGATCATACAGTTGGTGCTCAGAAGTTCAGATCACAGTGAGTCTGAGAGCCCGCAGACCCTATGGGACCTACTACCGGGCTTCCTGACGCCAGGAGAAAGACTGAGTGTGATGTGTGTTTCTGAAGTAGTAAGAGTCAAAAGTTCATTGCAACCTCCTTAAAATATGAAACACACACCAAGAGCAAAGGTCCCATTTTGAAAGAAGTAGGGTTCCCTACTAATGGAAAACACGTGCCTGCTGAGCACCGTACAACTTCTCCGGTGACTGGACACCCTCAGTTCGGGAGGCACACCGAGTCCAGCCACTACCCAGCAGCTACCGAAACCCAGCTGGTCAGCTCTGTTCCTACAAGGTCGTGCATTACTGAGTTCCCACAGCACCCAGAGCCTAGGCTGGACCCCGAGGTAATGAAGCAGCTCAGAAGCAGCGCAGCCCGAATGCCCCTCAGGAGGGACCCTGCATGGTGAGACTCTGAACACATTTGCTAAAAAAAGGGAGATCCTCCACAAGCCGACCCCAGCAGCCACAGCAGGGGACTCGGACAAGCCAACGAACTGGAGGACAACACGGTGAGGCAACATTTCACTCCTGAGGCCACCAACACTATAGTCCAGCCTCTTGAGAACTGCCCACAAATCAGTCTGCCCCCAAGGCCTGTCAATTCAGAATATGCAGACAGGCGGCTTCTAACCTGTACTTTTTCTCCTTGAAGGAGCACAAATGGAAGCCTTAAATACCTTTCCTGATACGGAGGACTCACAGTGAGGTGCATGAGGTTGAACCCCCATGTCTGCTCCTATGGGAAGGGCAGCGGCAGTGGCCCACACTGATGTCCAGACAAGAGAGGCCTGAGAGGTAGCCGAGGCAGAGGCCAGTCCGTCCACAGGAGGACCGTGACAGACTGGGGAGCCAGGAGGGGGCTGCTAGAAGACACATAGTAAGCACAGAAAGCAAAGATCCCAACATTCTAACCTGACAGTGGAGAAACTGGAGATCTGTGCAAATCACCTCGCAGTCCAGGAGTCCAGCCTGAGCGGACCAGCTGACCTGGTCAATAGCCTCAATAGCCTTTCTCTCCAGGTGACAGCTATGGTGCACTCGGGAAAGTGGGGCGGTGGCCTTGCCAACATTCGAACACATTTTCTCACTTGGATTAAGCACTAATAAAAACGCTCATCTTCAAAAAACTTGTGGAAAAATTCCACTCTCTTTTCATTATAGTTTTCCCTTACTTTTTTGAGGCCCTTACTAGTCCCTCTGAAGGCTAAACCTCTCTTGGGTCCATGAACTTCATCTTACTACAAACCACACCATGTCCACGTGCCTTCGGTCTGGCCCGACGACATGCAGCAGTCTGAAGGAGGGTGCCATTCTAAGGCCATGCGCATTCCTGATAGCATGGAGACCCCTAGCCATCTCCCAACAGAGCACAAACTCAGGGACATGTGGATATGCAGCACTTTCATGAAGCCCGAAGGGCAAGCGATGTGCCCAAACTCGGTGAACGTAGGAGAAAAGGATGTATCTATCACTTGAACCAGAAGTCCAACGGCAGGGGCTCACAGACATCCCGTGCACTTTAGCATTTGTTACCTTGAGCTCACTCCCTCACCTGCCATTGGCATTGACACTACCTGGCTGGGTCGTGAGAAAATACACACTCTAGTCCCCAAGCCCTCTGGGATCTTCTGGCACCTGCGTCCCTATTTCCACTCTTAGAAGGACTACTTCTACCCACGGCCATCAAGTGGAAGCAGACTCTCAGTCACCCTCTACAGGGTCTCCGGGAGCAGACACCTTCATACCTTTCTCCCAAAGAGCGGCTGCTGGGATTGAACTGTAGTTAGCAAGCCAAGGCTTAACACCCACAGTGCCACCAGGTTAGTGAGTATACACTCACCTGGAAGGGTTTTGCAGGACTGCTGGGCCCTGCCCCTGAGTTCCCCGTTCCACAAAGCTGGGGGATAAGGCATGTGATTCCCATGTCAAATGGAGTGCAGGAGCTCTGTGCAGTAAGCGCTAGACTAAGATCTATGAGGTCAGTGGTTCAAGCCCACCAGCCACTTCATGGGAGCAACATGACTTTCTACTTCTGCAATGATTTACAGCCTCAGACACACTATCTAGGGTTGCTGTACAATGGAGCCGACTAAACAACACGTAAGCTCCTGGAGGATGCGCCCACCCATTGGTCTGGGGACCACCTCAAAGTCATGGTTTCAAGCAAAGCACCACAGGTAACATTCTAAGTCATCTGAAATACCTTGCAATTTCTTTATTCACTCTGGTTCTCATTTCATCTTCTTCAACTGCACTTCCCCAGTCTGAGCATCTAGAACGGGGCTTAGGGCCTTCAGGTGTGGTGAAGCTGCAAAATAAGAGCAAGATGCATGTATGAACCAGGACACCACCTCTCATCTCCTGGAAAACTGTACGAGGAACTAGGGAGGCTCTCCTGCATGCTGCCAGGGGCACCAGCTTTGGAGTCGAGCAGATTTGACTGAGACCCCCAAAGCCCCCCTGGGCTCCTGCCATCACAAATTTGTTTCTTTTATACATGTGACAGCGTTCACCAAATAATAGGGACACTACGGGTAGGGAGACGTGCAGGCAAAGCTACGTGTCATCTTCAGCACCAAGAGCTTTGATTTGCAAAATGAGTATTTTTTTCATACCAGACTGTAAGAGGAGGGGAGAAGAGCTACACAGTCAATGGAAAGTGCTGGCGTGCGGTAGTCTAATGCATAGAGAGCTCGCACACAGAAAACGTACCAGCAGCTCAGAGATGTCCCGTACCACCCTCAGGGTCTAGTCTACTGGTGAAGTGGCACCTGCAGCTTGCTGCTATGAGGTGTCCTATTTCAATTCATAGTGACCCTATAGGACATAGCAGTACTGCCCACAGGGTCTCCCAAACTCTTTGGAGTCAGCAGGTGAGTTCAAACTACTTACCTTTCTGTTAGCAGCCAAGAACTTAACCACTGCACCACCAAGGCTCCTTAAAGGTATCCCCTTTTTGTTGTGAAGTGTGCAGAGTCAGTCCTGACTCAACCTTGCAGTTCAAACTGACCTTGCCGTCCAGTGCTAGAGTTGGGTTAGGGTTCCCTGGTGGCAGTGGTTAAGCACTCAGCTACTAACAGAAAGAAAGGTCAGTGGTTGACTGTCCAGCAGCTGTTCTGCAGGAGAAAGACATAACAGTCTGAGTCCATAAAGACTATTGTTGTTGCTGTTAAGTGACAGCGAGTCCAACTCATAGTGTTTCCAAGTAACAGCTGGTGGGTTTGAACTGCCAACCTTGAAGTTCAAACCCACCTTGATGTCTAGTGTATTATCCTACAGCATCACATCAGGACTACAGAAAAATTACAACCTAGAAACCCCAGGGGGCAACTCTCTTCTGTCCCACAGGGTAACTGAGTCCAAATCAACACAACTGTGGCAGCTTTGGTTTGGTGTGGCTTGGGGTAAACTGAATTCCAGACAATATGACAAGGTAAAAGCTTCAACACCAAGATCCGACAGTTGGAATTGCTGGCCTGCTGTTTCTAGATTAGATCTAAATGTTCATTTTTTTCTTTTCTACCTCATTCCCCTCAGCCTCCTCCACTGGTGTATGGAAAACCCACAAACTTCAACTCTCTTTAGGCAACCATCATTGGTTCCTTTATAGGGTCACATGCCCCCAAGACACCCACTGTGGATCTCTAAAGGTCAGTTTCCAGATATGCAGAAATGGCTAGAAAAGTCTGAGATCACACGTAGTTCATCAACAGGAAATAACATTAACTCACTGGGTTATTTGAGAGCTTGTCCAGCCGGGCTGCACATCAACATCCTACCCAGCCTAGCAAGAGTCAGTCAGTCTCCAAGGTAAGTCTGAACTAGAAAGTTCCCGCATGCAGAAAACTGACTGTGGACCCCAGAGTGCTGTATCTACCGGATCTCAGAACAAACCAGGACTTTGGAGAAAGCTCTCAAGTGGAAAACAAAGCCTGTTTTACACATTGAGCTGACCCTGCCCCACCCAATCAACAGTCAACGCCCTGCAGAAGGAGGGGCTGCACGTTACTTCCCTTCTCAAGTGAGAGGGGCCGGGTGGGGGGTGTTGTTGCTGCTTTCCCCATGAGCCAGATCTGTGCTAGCACCACCAGGGCGCTGGGGCAGGGCAGGCCTCTCATCCACACCCCACTGAACCACAGTGGACCTAGGAGGCAGGGGAGAGGCCGTCTGCCATCCTCTCGCATCTCTGCCCACAACCCTCCTGCACCCACTGCACCAGCAGGGCTCCTTTGCAGCATGTGACCTCTTCATTTTCCCGCCTGGGGATCTGCTCAAGATGTCACACTTGATAGGCCACATCCCCTCTCCAAAGTCCCCACTCTGGATGCTGACAGGCTCTTGAAGCCACAGGCACCGAACTACGGAGCCAGGTGGCAGGAGACAGTACGGGGAGAGGGCGGGGTTGCTCGAACCCCTCAGGTAGTGATAAAGATCAACCTGCGGATGCTGCGGTGGGCTCACCACATCCACAGGAAAGGCAATTCCAACTTAGGGTGACCTCACAAGTTCGAAAGCAGAACTGAACCCCACAGTCTTCTGGGCAATTCTCTTTGTGGAAGATCCCCAAGCCTCTTCCTAGCTGCCACTGGGTGGAGTCAAACCTCTAACCTTTAGGTTAGGTGGTGGTGGTTGTTGTTAAGCGCCGACAAGTCGACTCCGACCCATAGCGGCCCTGTATAGGGTTTCCAAAGAGCAGCTGGGGAGCTTGAACCACTGACCTTGCAGTTCAAGCGGCTTTGCAGTCTGGGGCATTAACCCACAGCATCACCCCAGGACTCCTACAGGTTAGGTGCTCAGTGCAAACTCAGGGACCTTACTTAGAACCCCCAAGGGCTCAACCATGATTCAGTGAACCAATGCTGATCTTGTCACTGGAAACTGCTGCTTCCGCCAGCCAAGCAGTTCACAATCATACCGCACTGTAAGTGCCCGAAATAGTCAAAAAGTCTACCTATGCCCCCCCCAAGACTCCCTCCCAAGGGTCGTTTCATCTCTATAGGTTGAAACAAAGTTACCCCTAAACCGCACTTAAAATGCCTATTTTCCCATCTTATAAGCAGAGGAGCACAGGAATGGAGGTAGTATAGTAAGTGTGTGCGATCAGAGTCTCAAAGACCCCAAACCTCTTCAGCTACCCCACGTTAGCTGAGTCTGGTATCCCCTATACCAGGAAGAAAAAGATCACCCTGGATCTGTGGACGGCTTGCTTGACTACAAGCCTAAGGGTTGTCGGTTGACTCCACCCCCACCAGAGGTGCCGGGGGAGCAAGGCCTGGCAACCTGCATCCCTAACGATCACAGCCTAGAAGACCCCACAGAGAGTGCAATTCACGGTCATTCGGGGTCAACACCATTTGACCCGGGCTTCAGCGTCTCCCACTTGGTTGGGTTTTAGAATGCGGTTGGGGAATGGGCTCAAAAGTGCCAGTGCCGTCCTGAGAGCCGTGTGGACGCCCCCCTGTCCGGCCCCCGAAGCCTCCCCGGCGGGTTCATACCTCTCCAGCCGGTGGTCCGGGCGCCTGCGCTCGTGGTCGTGGTCGTCGGCAGACACGGGAGGCTCGCAGTCCTCCGGCTTCCGGCGCTTCCCGTCGGCTCGGCGCTTCCGCCCCAGGGACCATCGGCTCGGGGAACGCGAGCTGCTCACAAAGAGACCGCGGGCGGGAGGCCGGCAGGTCAGCGCCGGCGCGGACCTCCCTCCCCCCCACACACACACATACACAAGTCGCTGCGCCGCCCGAGGGCGCCCGCCCGCTTCCGGCCCGGCCTCACCTGCCGTCGCCGTACCGGGAAGGGCTTCGCGGCCGGCAGGCCATGGCGAGCGTATTAGTAGAGAAAGGGAAAGTGTCGGGGACGTGGAGAACCAACGCAGAGCTGCGAGCAGCAGAAGAGACGGCGGAGCAGCGAACAGAAAGACGACGTTCCTTCCCGCGCTGGTGCTGACAGACTAATCGAGCGCCCCGCCCCCAACCGCTTTTATGAGGCTGTCGGGCCCCGCCCCTCGGAGATCCCGCGCGCGCCGGGTCAGGATGCAACCATTACGTCCAAGCCGGCGGGAGGTACCTGGCTCGGCTGCGCGGGTCTCAACAATTGTCTAGGCTTCTGCTGACTTTTCAGGACCTCGGGGTACCTTAAAGTCCTAATTCTAGACGCTGCTCTCGGGAAAGGCGAATCGACGCCGTCGTCTTCATGAGGTGAGCTTCAACGGAAAAGTTGCTCCCCTGGGGTATTGAGACAGACGGGCCGCCGCGGGCCTCTCGGAAGCTGATTGGCTGTTTGTTCGCGGGAGGAGGGTGGTATTGGCGGGAGATTCGGACGCGCGCGGCGCGAGCGTCAGAAGGGGAGGGAAGCCGCGTCCTCGTAGAGTCTCGACTAGGGTGGAGGTGCGTCTCTGATTGGTTCAGGTCTGGGCGGGGCAAGCCTCCGATAGGTCCCGTGTGGTCGAAGTCAGTCTCCCATTGGCTCAGCCCAGGGTGGAGGCGCGCCACTGCACTGGCGGGAAACTTGGAACCCGGAGGGCGCAGTCTGTGGAGTTTGCGCCTCCCGATCCCGGGCGAGATACCCCGGGATCGTCAGGGGCCGTGGCCACAGTAGGGTCCCAGTTCGCGTAGTCCCCGCCCGTTCGGCCATGGGTCTCCAGTACATCAAGTCCCGGATGGGGCAAAGGGGACTGGAGTCTTCCACGGTACAGCGCGCCCCGGGTCATCGATCGCTGCGGGGACTGGAAGGGCCCGGTGCAGGCCAATTCGCTTTGTGGTAGACGGTTCCCCAGAACTCCGAGGAAATCGCAGACCCTGAACGAGGAAGATTCAGGGATGGTGGAGTGCATGGAGGAGGTGGGATGCCGGACTCTTCGCTGCATCTGAACCCGCCTACTTCCTCCTGTGAACCCTCTGATTACATAGTTACTCCAAATCTTTTTACCTTTCTTTTGAAACTTTATTATAATTTGGATGAAAATTTACAGAGCACTTTAGTTTTTCATTTGACAACTTATACACATTTTGTTTTGTGACATTGGTTGGAATCCCCTCTGTTCTGGGGAAATGATGCCCTTTTGGTCTATGGCTGAGTGTACTGAGGAGCACGTTCCTGGCTGCTCTTGTTCACTAGTGCTGTGGGTTACTGCGCTGGACTGCAAAGTCGGTTCAAGCTCACCAACTGCTTCAGAAACCCTAAGCAGTGTCACTATGGACTGGCTCCACAGCACTTAACAATTTTGCTGAAAGCTGACCCCTGGATTCAATTCCAGGCTTAAAGGGTGTCTAGGGGCCACAAGCTTGGGTTCTACTAGGCTTATCAGACTCATCTGGTCTGTTTCATGATTTTGAAGTTTTGGTGTACTTTTTTTTCTCCTCTGGAGAAATAATCTGAATAATCAGTAGTGCTTACCAGGCACAAACTTTAGTTCACAAGTGCTAGACTATGTCCCTGGGTGGCTCCTAACCCCACGCTGTGCAAGATTGTACAGTAGGATCACAACCTGATCCACCTCAAGACCCCTCTCCTCAATACATTCCCATGTCCCATCCCCCAGGAATTTTCCAAGTTCACTTTTGTCCTGTGCCATTCTTTGTGCAGAGTCAGACTTGAGACAAGCCGTGGGTCTCTCTATCTGGAAGCCTGGGGTAAATCCGTCCTGCCATTTCAAATATTATCCACTGCTCTTTTCTAACCCTTCACTGGGCCGTGACTGTGGATCTGGATCAGAACCACCACTGATGCAGTGCCAAAGACCCTAGTCCACTGTAGCACAGTAAGAAGAGTAGGCTTACAGAGCCGTGGTGGCACTGTGATTCATCGCTGGGCTGCTCACCAGAAGGCTGGTGGTTCAAATCCACCAGCTGCTCCAAGGGAGAAAGATGTGGCCATCTGCTTCCATAAAGCTTTATAATCTCAAAAACTCTAAGGGGCAGTTCTCCCTGTCCTACACGGTCAGTGTGAGTTGAAATAGACTCAACGGCAGTGGGTGGGGTTGGGTTTGGTGAGGAGCTGAATGAAAGGCGACCTGGTGGCGCAGTGATTAAGATGCTAAGTGAAATGTCAGTGGTTCAGACCTACGAGCTGCTCTGCAGAGACATGTGGCGGGAGTCAACTTCCATGGTGAATACAACCTTGGGAACCCTCTGGGGCATATTCTGTATGGTCACTGGAAGTCAACGGATTCAGCACAAAGGGTCTAAGGGTGGACTTTGATTCTTAAGAACTGAGTATACTCTTTTGAAAAAACACATCATCCCTCCAGCTTGAGTATACCCTCGAAGCTGGATTAGAGTACCAGTCTCTGAGGTACCAATGTTGTTGTTCAGTGCCATTGTTGTTATGTGCCATCAAGTCGGTACCAACTCATAGTGACCTTGTTGTTGTTAAGTACAGTGGAGTCAGTTCTGACACCGAGTTTCCAAGGCTGTAAATCTTTACAGGAGCAGAAAGCCTCATCTTTCTCCCGCGGGATAGCTGGTAGTTTCGAACTGCTGACCCTGAGGTTCACAGCCCGATTCGTAACCACTACACTACCAGAGCTCCAGTTTAGAGTCTCTTCTGACATCCATTTTGGTCTTTCCCCTATTTCTTGTCTTCTTAATGACCTTTTGCTTTCTTCATGTATGATGTTCTTGATGTCATCCCACAGCTCTTCTGGTCTTTAGTCTTTAGTGTCTATTGCATCAAATCAGATGATCTCTAATCTATTCGGGGTCATATTTTGGCTCTCAAGGACTTGTTTTAATTTTCTTCAGCTCCAGCTTGAACTTGCATATGAACAAGTAATGATCTGTTCCACCGTCTGCCCCTGACCTTGTTTTGACTGATACGGAGCTTTTCCACCATCTCTTTCCACAGATGTAGTCAATTTGATTTCTGTGTATTCCATCTGGTGAGGGCCATGTGTATAGTCATCTTTTATGTTGTTTAAAAAAGGTATTTGCTATGAAATCATCATCAGACTTAGAAAATTCTTTCATGTGTTCTCCAACATCATTTCTATCACTGAGGCCATATTTTCCAACGAGTGAGCCTTCCTCTTTGTTTCCAGTCTTTGCATTGCAATCTCCAGTAATGATCTTGATTGTATGTTTGATCAGGTTCAGTCTGAAGAAGTTGGTAGAATTCTTCTATTTTATCATCACTGGCTTTAGTGGTTGGTGCATATATTTGAACAAAGTGGTATTAACTGGTCTTCATTTTAGTCAGACAGATATTATCCTATCACAGACAGCGTTGTAATTCATGACTGATCTGTATATGTTCTTTTTGATGATGAATGCTATGCCATTCCTCTTCAATTTGTCATTCCCAGCATAGTAAACTATGTGATTGTGTGATTCAAAAAGCCAATACCAGTCCATTTCAGCTCACTAACGCCTAGGATATGGCTGTTTATGCATTCCGTTTCATTTTTTACAATTTCCAATTTTCCTAGATTGATACTTAGTACATTCCGTGTGCTAATTAATAATGGATGTTACAATTGTTCATTTTGAGTTGTGCCCCATCAGCAAATGAAGGTCCCACGGGCTTTTCTCCCACGGGCTTTACTCCATTCGCGTCATCACGGTCAACTCTACTTTAAGGAGGCAGTTTTTCCCCAGTCACAATCAGTACTTTCTAACCCGAGGGACTCATTTTCCAGCACTATATCTGACAATCTTCTGGTGTTCTTCATCATGCTTCTGTGTTCAGTAATCTGGTGCTGACCTCCATTGCTATTCATAAGGTTTTCAGTGACTAAAAATATTCAGAAATTGTCCATCTCTCCTTCTTCCTGGTCTGTCTTTATCTGAAGCTCAGCTGAAACCTGCCCGGCATGGGAGACCCTGCTGGTTGGTATTCGCTTCCAGAATCACAGCAGCACACAAGCCACCACAGTACGACAGACTGAAAGATGAGTGCTGGTCTGTTTTCCTGCTGGCATAATTTACAGTCTCTTCAACTGCAAAAGCCCTTTGGGGGCTTATGGGATGTTCTAAACTAGTTTGTTGGACTGTTAACTTCAAATTCAGAGGTTCAAATCCACCAACCACTCCAAGGGAGAAAGATGTGGCTGTCTGCGCCTATAGAGATTTGCAGTCTCAGAAACCCTAGGAGCAGTCCGGGAACAAGGGTGCTGAGATGAATTCACCCTGGTCTGCTGCTTTTGCTTGGTATGAAGAAGCTGAAAAGAGACTCATCTTTCGGAAGTACAGCTAGAGTGTTCCTCAGAAGCGAGGTTGGCAAGACTCTGCCTCCCATACTTTGGACATATTATCAGGAGGGATCAGTCTCTGGAGGAAGGGCGTTATGCTTGGTAAAGTAGAGGACTAGCAAAAAAGAGGAAGACTCTTAATGAGATAGAAGAAACTGAGTTTGGAAATTCGTAAGTAAATGTGTGTGTGTGTGTGTGTGTGTGTGTGTGTGTAGCTCCACAGAGTTTTTCAGAAAGAAAGCAGCAGAAAGATGGGAGGAAACAAGGCAAAAGAGTAGCAAAAAGAAATGAGGCAAAGAACCTCTTCTAAAGGCCCTGGAACCCAGGGCAACAGAGAGGGCTGAAAAGGTGGTGATAGATTGTAGGGCCTTGAGGATCCTGTCCTGAGGCAGCCAAGAGGAGGCTGTCCAGAGAGGCCCGAGAGAGCTGTCCTGCTCTGAAGAAGGGAGACTGCATGCCTTCTGATGCCAGGCTGCATTGTGCTGAGTGGTTCCCTGTTACTTAATAAACCAGTTAACGCTTGGTGTACTTCAGGAGTTCTGGGAGCCTTGGCAGTGAATTGCCACTGGGGAGGGAATGGTGCTGAGGGAGGGAGATTGTGGGAGGTGGGGGCGGGGGAGGGGAGTGTCAGAG